CCCCCCCTTTTTCTCGGTGCGGACTTACTTTTTCCGCTTGGGAAGCGCAAGTGTGCGCGAGTTTTTCTACGGCGCTTTTCTTTCGTCGGTGAGTTGGTTTTTCTTCTATTTTTAAGTTACTAAGGTGAATGGTGAGGAAACCTTCGTCTTAACTAAACATAAGCCCCAAACAAAATATAATGAAAGCAAAATAAAAGTAAAATAAAAATAAAGCTCAGACTTGGTTCCTTACAAGGGGTCGGCAGTTTGTCAAGTGAGAAGAGCCAAATTGTCATGAAAACAGGATAACAAAAGTACCAGAGAGCCGCATGTTAATTTAAATGTGCGAAATATGACACACGACAGGGGCGCCTCTAGTGGCCATTTTCGGCATAACATTACACGGATGGATGGACATGCGTTCAATAGGTTATATATATAGATATGCTTCAAATGCTACCACTCTTATGCGACTCATATTGATCAACGCGAGTGTGGTCATGTGCAGAAGGAGAACAAGTCGAAGTTTGTTCGGCAGCTCTATCTCATAAACTCATAAGTTATAAGGCTGCGGTGAAATGAGGTGAAATGAAATTGGAGTTTATGTCCAAAGAGCTGCATGCAGCTCGCGAGCCGCTAATTCCGACCCCTGATCTAGACAAATGCAAAACATTTCACATAGAAAAAGAAATCCTGAAGAAAGAAGATTTTACACTTGGAAATGGAGATGCTATTGAATCCATGGAAGAGAGTGAGTTCTACAAGTACAGTAAGACCTCGTTTAACACGGGTTTCCTTGACAACAAAGTGCTAAACGTTGTTAATTTTAACAGAGTAAATAGGGATAGTGGAACATGCGAATGAAAATCTAACTTAAAATTAAAGTAAAATTTTTTTATTATTATACAAATTAATATAAAAATATGTTAAATAACACATACACACAGAAATGCATAATAATATAGGTTATTAAGTTAATAGTTCATTTTTTATGACGAAGGTCCTGGTTTTTCTGAAATTCTTGTTCTTTTGCAATAAAGTCGTGAAGTTTCATTTGTTGCTTTTTCCTTAAGCAAATGTCGGTAGCAGAAGATTGCATCCAAAACGCCTCATTTTGCTTTTGCACTCTCTTCAAAATCTAGATCATTTGTTGCAATTTGATCACCGATTTTGATTATCATTAGCAAACTTTTACTAAGGAAATCTGTAGAGAAATTTTTTGGGTTCTTTGTTTTCAGAATCACTATTTTCCAGTTCTACATGGATTCCTTGTTTTGCCAGTTCTTGAAGGTCGTCGTAAATAAGACTCTTACCAGAAACATGCGGTAATTCCTCAATATCCTGTTTGTCTACATCTCCTAGTCCTGCTGTATTGATTAAGTTGACAATTTAGTCAACCTAATGATATAGCGATAGGCTCTTCTTGTTGAGAATTCTTAGATACCTTCAGCCAAAACTACTTCCACACTTTGTTTGTGCATTTATCACTTAATTCTTGCCAAGCAAAGCCGATATCACCTATGGCAGGGGTGGCAAACCTATGGCACACATGCCCAAAGTTGCACGTAAGAAGAAATCATCTAGCATGTAACGTATCATACGAATTTGATTTATCATTTGTCTTTTTCAATCATTGTTTCATTTATTCTAATTAAAGCATTTTTATTAAATTTATTTAAATATCATTATTTGAAATTTAAAACTTTGACACGCATAAACATCTTTAAAGCTAAGTATGGCACGTGGGCTCAAAAAGGTTCACCACCCCTGGCCTATGGCATCCATGATGATATATTTTTTCCAAAATTGCACGAAACAAACATAGATTTAAAGAAAGTACACCTTTTTGCCACCTTTTTCCGATTGGTTTATGTTTGTAAATAATCGTATTATGTATGAATCAATAAAATGACACAATAATTTAAATCAGCATAAATTATGAGCTTTTTTTTAGGCTTTGAGTAGATGGCAATATATCGAATCAGTGTTAAGCAGGGTCTTACTGTATTTGGTATTCTTTAATTAATCTTTGCTTTATTTGAGTATGTTCTGTTAGTTTAGCTTGTTGGAATCCTAAAGTAGGTTAAACACTATACTCAGAACACAGTTAAATGCAAAACACACAGTTAAAGCAATCAACACTTATGTTGTTCCAGTATTCATATTCTTTTGGAGTTATTCATTGTACTCACACAGATCTTGAACAACTCCAAAAGAAAACAAGAACAACACCCTTACTAAGTATAAACATTATTATCCTAAGTCAGCCATAGAAAGATTAACCCTTCCACGTAAAGATGGTGGATATGGCCTGATTGACATCGTAAACCCTCACTACAAATACAGACACTGCAAGTTTTTCTATAAAAAACAAGAAACATCACAGTTACATAAAGCAGTAACTCTAGCAGACTCAAATAACACACCATTAAATGTACACTCACAACATATGGATATGCCAAAACACAGACATCATTAAGCAATCATGGGTTTGAAAGGCATTCCATGGTAGACATTTCTATGATCTGGCCCAGGATTTTGTTGACAAAACTGCATGAGACAGAAGGGTTTGTGATTTCCATACAGGATCAGGTCATAAATACTAAAAACTACAGAAAACACATACTCAAAGATACAACAATCACAAACGACACATGCAGAAAATGTCACAAAGGCCACTATATTGAATACATGCCATATTGTTAGGAAATTCCTGAATACAGACAAAAATTAAACAAGTGTGTCAGTATGTGTGTCTTGTTTTGGTTGCTATGCCTTGACTCTGGTGTGGCATATACTCAGTTGACACCGGTGGCTGTGTACTCACTCACTAAACCCAACATAATAATAATTTTTTTATCATAGAAGTAATAATAAAATCAATTCTTTGAAACAAACAATTATAATTCATTTTTTGGGAATTTACAGTAATTTATGTATTCATATTTTATTAAGTTACTAGCAGGTGGGCCCGGCGTTGCTCGGGCTAAAGTAACGATAACTAAGATAAAGATTATTATGTTACAGTCAACCTTACCCGTTTTCACAGAATGCAAGAATTGGGTCCCCTTGTTTCCAGACTAATTAGAGAATTTTTAGATGGGTCTAAAAATATGTTCGATTTCCCGCAAAAACGAAAAAAACTGCATCTGCGTATTGCACGTCGCTTTCTCTTAACAATTCCATTGTTACATAGCATTTCCATTGTTGACACTTCTATTGTTACTTAAAACTTTTATTGTTACTTAAAACTTCCATTGTTACTTAACACTTCCATTGTTACTTAGCACTTCCATTGTTACTTAACACTTCCATTGTTGATGGAAGTGTTAAGCCTTAATCCTGTCCCTCTCCCCCGTGGGGAGGAATTTCGAAAAATCCCTTCTTAGTGTGCGTTCTCCTAACGTACCCTAACTGTGTACCAAATTTCAACTTTCAACTCCTAACCGTTTGGGCTCGTATCCATAATGTATATAGAAGTTTTAATCCTGTCTCTCTCCCCCCGGGGGGAATTTCGAAAAATCCCTTCTTAGTGTGCGTTTTCATGATGTACCCTATCTGTGTACCAAATTTCAACTTTCAACTCCTAACCGTTTGGGCTCTGCGCTTATTATTATTATTATCAACCCGTCTCGATTATATATTAGATTACATAAATTCTGTGATATTTTTGGATAAAATTAAAATTGATATTGATTTAATTTATTTAATTGACAACATATTTAATGGATACAATTCATGAATATTTAATGGATACAAGTCATGAATAATAATAGCCAATATGGCCATTATTGGCCATTGTTCATATCATTATTTTAAAACTTTTCATTCAAAAAGTAGATAATACTCCTGTGATGTTGCACCATCACATGGTGAAAGACCTTTGTAACCCAGCTTGTTTAGTTATTGCTTGGTCTTAAATATGATATATAGTAGGGCATTGTTGTGTTCAAATATAATACTGTTTTGATTGGCTAAAACTGGTCATTTTCCTTGATTTTTGATCTTATTGTGAATATTGTTCAAAATTTACATCAGTGATAATGCTTTGATCAGGAAGCGGAAGCTCACCAGATATCAATACAGAGCATTCTTTTTTGGTGGATACTGGATCTGGAAACAGATGGGGCCTTCCTCATTTGTTTTCAGGCCAATACTGGCAAACACTTGAAGATGAGTTGCATATCAACAGGCACTCAAGACCTTAGAGAGGACCTCACACAAACATTGAGAAATGAATGGTTCTGGTGGTTTTTGCTGAATATTTGATGTTTTGTAGTTCTACTGGTCTAGATCAAGTCTCCACAGGTACAAAGACAAGAAAAAGAAAATTTTTGAGTTGTTGAGCATCTAAGATGCAAAAATATGATTCACGTTTGTGTTGTGAAGCCCTAAGTCTTTGTTTCAAAACATAAATTGATATGTTTTCAAATGGTATTGATGTTCAGCATGTTACCTAGATTTCTCTTTAGACACTCATTATGCAATACACACAACTGTGATTCTTGTGCCATTTAGGTTTATACCATGCTAGTAGATATAGTGTGCTCTTCTATGTAGTCTATGGATGACCTTGCAAGACACTCACTCTACTGAGACTTGATAATAATCAAAAAGGAACTCTGTTGGGAGATATCGAGTTGGAGTGATTCATAACACAAAAACTCAATCTTTTCAATTTGTGTTTACAGATACTTTTGATCTGGAACAATAGAACTTAAAAATACCAAAGATTCAGCCAAATTCACTGGGACCCATTTTCTGTAAGGTCTGCAGTGTCCCTTCCAGCTCAAAATTTGGAGAATATTTTTGAACTATCCTATTGTCTAGAATATCCTCCTTTAATGCCTTTGTAGCTGCAGTCACGTTACTGCCCCTTTTGAAACTCAGAACATGCAATGTCTTAGATAAACATTGAAGTTGAATTGTACTGTACAAGCATTAAAAATTTGAAGTTTACATTTATTTATCATCATCATCATCATCATCATTATTATTATTATTATTTTTTATTTTTGAAAAGGGTATGGTGTTATAAAGACACTTAGAGATAGTTTGTAATCAATACAGCAGCACAGTTCAAAAACACATCAAAGATAAGTGCACAAAATATGACAGAAATTACAATTATACTTTGAATTTTATTAGGTTGTTGCATAAAGTATCTCTATAATTTCTCAAATTGATTGAAATGAAAATTTGTCAGATTATTTTACCACCTTTTATTCTTATTATTATTAATTTATTTCAGGTTTCACATCATCCTCCTGTTTCAGCATTTTATGTGACTAATCGTCAAGACGGTTTCTGTATTTGCGGTAGTATCCTTGCAAAATCAAAATTTTATGGTAAATACTTTTTATATTTAAAAATTTGTTTACATGTGGAATTTACTGTGGGTACTCATTTGTAATTACATTTATTGACACCTGTCTTTTCTGTTATTTTGGGACAATCTAAGTTAATAATGTATAAAATACACTTATCTTTGGGTAAATAGCATAGACATTTTTAAATTGCTTTTTTTTAGTCTTAACTAGTGCTTTAAATGTTAATCATTTTAATTATTATTTGCTGGAATTTTTTTTTTCAGTTTACATTAGTTCTTGCTAAAGACAGTAGCAAGCAAACATACCGAAAGTTCAGTGATAATTATAATTAATAGAAATGGAACTAATATGTATAGTTAAAACAATTATATTTGTTGGAGTGAATAAAACCAAAATTCCCACTAATTGTAGTCAACCTTAAATGACAATTAAGTAAATCAGTCATTATTGTTTCCAGTGTAGACAAGTCTCAAAGTAATTACAATAAATGGATTCTACTGTATTAATAATATGCATTCAAGTAACTTTACTATTGATACATCAAAATTTTTAATGTAATTATTGTAACAGATTAATATTTTAATACATTTTGCCTCAATTATAATGAGTTCAGTTATTGTGAGCAAATCTTGTTTGTTTCAGTTACAACTGGATGTTTTTTATGTAAATATTCAAATGAGCTCACTCACCAATAGAAGAGATGCCCTATCTTATAGTTCTTAAAGAGTGGAAAATCCAGTATCACTTGAGTGAACCATCTATTGAGTTATCAAAGCTGTTTAAGAGAGTTTTATGATACACTTTTACATTTACCTTCAGTTATCATCTTGTTAGACATGTTTCTTTTGATTAAAAGGAAGTATCTTTTGATTTGTGAAAAAATTGAAATCATTTGAGAGTTAGAGCATGGATTAAAAAATGTGGTTGACAAAGAATTAATACAATTGTTGCAAGTTTAAAGAAGTACCAGATTTCCAATTGAGGAACCAATATTACAAGCAAAAGCAGAGGAGTTTGGACATCAAAATTTTGTTTGCATCAATGGATATTATTGTACCAAAATGTCAGATGCTATTTATTTTAAAAAAAAAAGGAATGAATGACAATATTTTCAATGGCAGTAAACAAGTTTCAAAGTTTATAACTTATTTAATAAATATATAAAAAACCTTGCTTCTTTCAATCTTTCTGCCGTTTCATTTCTACACCATCAGCGATCCTTAAGACAATTCACAAAAATTTTCAGAAACAGTCTTCCTTTTAAGGCTACTGCCTCTGCAAAAAATGTAAAATCAGGCAAAGCATCCTCTGGTGTTCGTTGCCACTGTCACAATATCACATTTTAAATACTTTTTTTTACTTTTTACTATTTTTTATTTATAACTTATATTGAGTCAACAAAAAATACAATAGTCATTAACTGTTAGTTATACAATTATTTAAATCACTAAAAATAGACATATAAAACAAGTAAAGTAGAGCACGTATATAAGCATATGATACTATTCTTGAAAAATTAGTTTAATCATATTTGTATTTTAAAACTAATATGCAGGTATTCTGGGATATGTAAATTGGAATTGTTGATGTTTTGTGTGTCACTCACTGGCATGCCATTTTTGTAAGCATGCTGTAGTAAAATTTGTGCAGAGTAAAAGAGTTTTTTTTGAAAATCAAGTAAACATTTTTACTTTACTTAGATTTTTTCAAATATGCTTACATTAATTTTACAGACAAACTTTCTAATTTTTTTCTTTAAAATATTTAGCTTAAATAAACAAATCTTTGTTTTTAGTTATAATTAATTCAAAATTATACATTGCAAGAAAGTTTATTCATATTAAGAACAAAATATCTAAATTCATAAAATGAACTCTATGTTTCAAAAATGGTTAAGTTGAAAACTAGGCATAGAATATCCAAATCTAAGATTCAAGAAAAAATACTAAAATTTAAATACTTCTATGACTCTGCTTATCGAGTCTAATTTTGCAAATTACTTGATAATTAAATTAATTTTTGAATGTGAATATACATTTAATATTTCTGTAAGTCATTATATGTGTAATTTAATTTTTTTTTAATTAAAATATATTTTTATATGAGGCTTTGTTGGAATAGATTATAAAAGATTAATTTCAATGCAATTTACAGTATTTATTTAGCATACCAAAAATTTTTTTAAGTTAAATAATATTTATTGTTGTTTATAAAATCTCATCTAGGTTTTAATTAAATTTATTTAAGGAAATTCGTTATCGGCAATATTAGATGGGACAGCGAGGTTATCGTTGTTAACTAGAGGCGAAGATTATACACTCACAATGCCTTATGCTCATTGTAAAGGAATTCTCATGGGAACTTTAACAATGGAACTTGGAGGAAAAGTTAATATCTGTTGCGAGAAAACCGGGTATAGTACCGAACTTGAATTTAAATTAAGGGTAAGTGTTGTTATGCATTATGATCATAATTAATTAAAATTATTGAAGAAAATGATTTCAATCAGATTATATAGATAAAATTTTTAAATTGAGATTAATTTATCCTCACAACTAATTCTTAAGACTAAAATAAACTATAATTAAACTGAATTTCTATTAAAAATACAGTATGAGTGAAAACATCCTACTATGCTTAACGGACTATATTAGGCAAATTACTCAGTAACTGAAAAAGTTTGAGAAAATTATGGAAGCTGTTACGTGAGAGAGAATAATATATGAAAAGTACTATGGTAATTAAGTAACACCCAGTGTAGAGGACTTGGACTATGGGGGGTGAAATTTCTAAGAGAAGTACAATAGGAACAAGGAACAAAATTAGAAATGAAGAGATCTAAAGAAGAGAATGAGAAGGATAGACGATACTATTAAAGAGAAAAAAGATATTGGTTGTGTTCAAAGGATTGATAGAGAGAATCCTGCAAATAATTGTGGAGAGAGAAATGCAAAAACTGGAAGATCTCCATATTCTTTTCTGTATTCTTTCTCTTGAGATCTATTGGGAGAAACTTCATCCAGCAACTTACGATTTCTAGCATTATTCTTTCAGGTTGGAAGAATAATGTTAGAAATTGTATTTCTGTGCAACTATTTGAAAATGTATCTTAATGAATAGAAAATGTTTTTTGTAATCAGAGAGAATTGCACTTATTATGATTTACAATAATTTATAATTTTTATACTTAGCTCAAACTATAAAACTACATGGTTGGATTTCCTGAGCTATAATTCCACTATTGAATTAATTTTTCAGCGGAACTAGATTCTATCATTAATTCAGTCAAAAAATATAATGAAACTTTTAAATTAAAATACATATTATTGTTTTCAATATATATGCTAAACATATTTTTAAAAAACTTGCTTATAAGCATGCAAATTACAGTAAAAGTAAATATTGTTAAATTTTCCATTAGAATATATGAGTTGGACAACTTCTTTGGTTTAAGAAATCATTTGTCTGTTTATAATAATTTTGCAGTATTTGAAAATATAAGTATTTTAATGCATTATAAAATTTATTTAATGAAATAATATATCAACATTGTCATCTAATGTTTAGAAAAAAATGTCAAAAAATATTAGATTAAATTCAATATAATGTGGTACGTAACACTATGATTTCAATCAGTACGCCGCTAAGTTTAGATAGAGGCGCCATATAATTGGAAAAATAATTAAAATATATTAGTTTTTTTTCTCTAATTTTTAATATTTTTGTATTAAAAAAATGCAGATCTTTAGCTTCACTTTTTGTTTACACATATATAAGAGCATCTTTGATGCGACATGCTCAACGATATTAAGAATTGAGATGTGCCAACAGCTCAAAAAATTGAAAAATACTGAATTATAACTTAAAAGCTATTGAATTAAACAGTGCAGAAGTGAGAAACCTGCAGCCTTTTTATTGGCGTTTAACGTAGCCTGATAAAGTATGAAATGGCATAAATTTAGTAATTTAATGGAAGAAAATGGTTACAGAAATAGATTTTTAGGTACCTATTCTTCAGTTTTCGCAAAAATTAACTAAAAATAATACTAAAAACAGTTTAATATATTTAATGATATTTTTTATATTTTTTTCTTTATTATAAGGCGCTCTATAAGGTTACATATGTATGCTAAATGTATACATTTATGCACCTGAGAAATAAGACGCAGTAATAAAAACAATAAAATTATCAAAAATATTAAGAAAAGTATTGTAGAAATGTTAATAAATTATTTAAACTGATAATATTTATATTATTTTTATGTATGTTCTTTGTTTTATATAAAAACAGTATATGGAAATGTGATGATATTTTCTGCAATAGTCTTAGTTTGATGGACTATGGGAGTTGATGAGGTATAAAATATGCAATGAAAAATTTTAATTATTTATCGTAGAAATATATAAATATCTTTAGAATTTGGGAAATATAATTCTATAAATATATATATAATATTTGTTAAAGAAAATTTCAAAAATAATATCTTCACTCTACATTCGATAATTGCAATTGAGTGAAAAAGATTTTTTAAGGTATTATCTAGAGAATCACTTTGTCCTGAATAGGTTGGATTATGGGATAATTCATGATTATTTTTCGCAAAATCCGCTTAAACGTGAGCAAAAATAGGTTAAAAGGTGTGTTTAAATGGTAATCGTTATTGTTAAAATGTTCATTTTTTTTTGAAAAAAAAAATTCAATATTGAATTTTATTTTCGATAATAAATACTTCGATTTTTGACTTATAAGTTTCAATTAAATTCCAATTTTATTCAAACTATCGATAATGATTTAATGTTTTGAGTTTGGAAATAGTGTTAAATTATTCTATTACTTTCGTGCTGGCTGTTAATCTAATAAGAATAAAATAAAGTTTATATATTCAAACCGATAACTAGTCAATGGCGCGTTATCCTATGGGCCAAAAGGGCAATTGCTGTGTCCCCCACTAACAGGGGCCCCAAACCAATCTTTTATAAGAAAACATTTCCCGAAAAAAATTTCTGAAGTCAACACTGTCGGTGGGTCCCGCTAATTCAAATTTGTCTGGGCCCCGTGAAGATATAACGCGCCACTGTAACCTGTAACTTAATTAGAACCGATATTAAGGAGGCCCAAATTAGAACGAGCAAACCTGCATTAATTCTTGTTATGTTAACCACTAACTTGTAAGCGCTGTGGATGAAGAATAAACTCTTAGAGTAGGCTATTGTATACATATTTATACAAGTGCGAGACCCATTATCACCAGTAGATAAATCAGGGAGGGTTCAGGTCCAGGAAGATCGGGCCCTCCCTGGCTATTCTACTGGTGATAACGCGTAATAAAACTATACAAAGTTAAGTTCTAATTAACCTATTATTAAAAATCGATAAGGAAAAAAAATTTAAACTTAAGCTAAGCTCAGAATAAAACGCT